ATGACCAAGACGATAAACAAAAAAATGGTCTAGACAGACGTATTCCAATTACGGTCATTTCAGTTTTGTATTTTACCAATGGTTAAATTACAATATTAGCTACTCTTTAGAAAAGCATTACACTCTGAAAATCAGGAAGCCTGGAGTTTCATCTCAGTTATGCCACTAACTCACTAGGTCTCCTTGGGTACGTCATATAGCTTCTCTATGCCTCAGTTTCCTCAAGTATAAAATGGAGATACCATCCCACACAGGTATTGTGAGGATTAGCTAATACGCATACAGCACTTTGAACATGTAAAGTGCAGAGAAATATATTAACTATCTTGATCAAAGTAAACATAAAAAGCCCATGTCACCAAGATCATATGAAGAAGAAGAGAGTGTTCCACAATAAAAAAAAAAACCTAGGTAATAATTAAAATGACCTACTAGTGCCCGAGTTTTTTATTCTGAAGAAGGAAAGGGCAACTGCATCGCAGCCTACACTAGACTCCCCGACCCAACCTCAACATTTCACGCCATTGGTAATAATAGTGCAGCTCCACCAGTGACAGCACCAGAGCCAGCTAACTGCAGACAGAACATGGACATAAATGACACAGTAGTTAAAATGCCAGCAGCTGGCCTACATGCCAGTGCCAATGCTGCTCTCGTTTCCTCCACCTGCATCCAGACACAGAACCTAACCATGGATGCCTCTACCCAGATCCTGGTGTGGATTTGCAGAGACTGTGGCCTGCATTTTCCACTCATAGAAAGCCAGGCTGCAAGGACCATCCAGTGTGAAAGGTGCCTGCTGGTGGAATCTCTTCGGAAGCAGATGAGAGAACCACAAGAGGAGGTGGCCAGGCTGCGGAGCATTCATACACGTGAGTAATTCATTGAGAGTATTCCTATGGAGATGTCCAAGCTTGAGGACGCTATCCAGGTAGAGAGGACTGCTGTCACGCCCCCGGGGGAGGATGGTATGGCTCTGTCACTGGGAGGACACTGACTGCTGGTTACTTCCAGCAGCAGGCACTGCTCCACTCCTAAACCTAACTCACCCACCAATATGCTTTGTTCAGATGCTTTATCTGAAACTCAAAAAAAAAGAAACCTACAAAAAATGGAAACTAGGTCAAATTATAAAGGATGAATATAAATAAATAACTCAAGTATATAGGGACAAAATTAGAAAGGCCAAGGCACAAAATGAGATTAAACTAGCTAGAGACAAAGGATAACAAGAAAAAATTCTACAAATATATTAGAAGCAAGAGGAAGACCAAGGATGGTGCAGGCCCATTACTCACTGAGGGGAAAAAACAAACAGAAAATGTGGAAATGGCAGTAGTGCTAAATGACTTTTTTGTTCCAGTTTCACCAAAAAAGTGTAATAGAAACTGGATATCTAACAATGAATACCAGTGGAAATGAGGTAGGATCAGAGGCTTAAATAGGGAAAAAACAAGTTAAAATTACTTAGACAAGTAAGATGTTTTCAAGTCACCAGGGCCTGATGAAATATATCCTAGTATACTCAAGGAGCTGACTGAGGACTATCTGAGCCTTTAGTGATTATCTTCAAAAAGTCATGGAAAACAGCATGAAATTCCAGAGAACTGGAAAAGGGCAAATATAGTGCCAATCTATAAAAAGCAGAATAGTATCCAGAAAGATAATGGAGCAAATAATTAAGCAATCAATTTGCAAACACCTGGAAGATAATAAGTTGATAAGTAACAGTCAGCATGGATTTGTCAAGAAGAAATCATGTCAAACCAAACTAACAGCTTTCACTGAAATGGTAACAAGCCTGTGGATAAGGGGAAAAACAGTAGATGTAGTAGATCTTGACTTTAGTAAGGCTTTTGATATTGTCTTACATGACCGTCTTATAAACAAATTAGGGAAATACTACCTAGATGGAACTCCTATAAGCAGTGGCGTAGCTAGGTGGAGCGAACAGGGGCAGCGGACATAAAAAAAAGATGCCACCCGCTTGTACACACCGGGTGGCCCTCGCCACCAAGGAGCCGGAGCGTGTGAAGGCACCCGCCGCTGAAGACCCGGAGCACCGCCAGGTGAGTAAAAATTGAAAAAAGGCACCACTTGTGCTCAGAGGGGGAGTGGCTGTTCCCCCCGCTACGCTACTGCCTATAAGGAGGGTGCAGAACTGGTTGGAAAACCATTCCCAGAGAATATTTATCAGTGGTTCACTGTCAGACTGGAAGGGCATGTCAAGTGAGCTCCTGCAGAGATCAGTTCTGGATCCAGTTCTGTTCTGAATCTTCATCAGTACTTTAAATAATGACATAAAGGGTATACTTATAAATATGTGGATGATACCAAGCTGGGAGGGGTTGCAAGTGCTTTGGAGGATAGGATTAAAATTCAAAATGATCTGGATGAACTGGAGAAATGGTCTGACGTAAACAGAATGAAATGCAATAAGGACAAATGCAAAATACTCCACTTAGGAAGGAACAATCAGTTGCACATAGACAAAATGGGAAAGACAGCCAAGGAAAGAGGACTGCAGAAAGGGATCTGGGGCTCATAGTGGATCAAAAGCTAAATATGAGTCAACACTGTAACACTGTTGGGGGGGAGGAGAAACAAACATCATGCTGGGATGTATTAGCAGGAATGTCATAAGCAAGACACAAGAAGTAATTCTTCCGCTTTACTCCATGCTGATTAGGCCTCAACTGGACTATTGTATCCAGTTATGGGCGCCACATTTCAGGAAAGATGTGGACAAACTGGAGAAAGTCCAGAGAATAGAAATAAAAATGATTAAAGGTCTAGAAAACATGACCTATGAGGGAAGACTGAAAACAAATGGGCATGTTTAGTCTGAAGAAAAGAAGATGGATAGGGGACATGATAACAGTTTTCAAGTATATAAAAAGCTGTTACAAGGAGGAAGGGAAAATGGTTCTACTTAACCTACGAGGATAGGACAAGAAGCAGTGAGCTTAAATTGCAGCAAGGGCAGTTTAGGTTCTGGGAATGGGCGACAGGGGATGGATCACTTGATTAGCTGTTCTGTTCATTCCCTCTGGGGCACTTGGCATTGGCCACTGTCGAAAGACAGGATACTGGGCTAGATGGACTTTTGGTCTGATCCAGTATGGCCATTCTTATCTTCTTAAGACATTAGGAAAAGCTTCCTAACAAGGTAGTTAAGCATGGAATAAACTGCCTGGGGAGATTGTGGAATCTCCGTCATTGGAGATTTTTAAGAGCAGGTTAGAAAAACACCTCTCAGAGATGGTCTAGATAATACTCAGGCCTGCCATGAGTGCAGATGACCTCTCGAGGTCCATTCTAGGACTCCCACTGTAAAAAAAAAAAACACAAAAACAAAAACCCTAGAGTAGACATTGCACCAGAGTTCTGTGGAGTTTCATGGTAACATGCAGGCCCAGATTATCAAACTATGCACTTAGTACACTTGCACAGGGCCCCCATCTTGGAGTGTTGGGGGAAGGGAGGCAAAAACATACAAAAGAACTTAGAGCCAGTGTCAGGGTTCCTTCCCCACTCTGAACTCTGGATTACAGATGTGGGGACCCGCATGAAAGACCCCCTAAGTTTATTTCTACCAGCTTAAGTTAAAGCTTTCCTGGGACACAAAATTCCCATATCTGGGATTCAGTATGCTGCCACCACGAAGCGATTTAACAAAGAATCATGGAAGAGACCACTTGGAGACGTCTTTCCCCAAAATATCCCCCCAAGCCTTTACACCCCCTTTCCTGGGGAGGCTTTAGAATAAACAAGATGAGCACAGACCAGCCTTGGGTTTTTAGGACACTAAAACCCCAATCAGAGTCTCAAAAAACAGAACTTCATTAGAAGAACAAAAAAAGATAAAAGAAACACTCCATAAGATTAGAATGGAAAATAATCTCACAGGCAGTCAGATTCAAAACATAGAGAAACCCTCTAGGCAAAACCTGAAGTTACAAAAGGACACAAAAACAGAGATACACATTCCCTCCAGCACAGTAAATTTCACAAGCCAAAAACAAAAGAAAATCTAACGCACTTCCTAGCTAGAATACTTACTAACTCTATAGGTGTTGGATTGCTTGCTTTCTTGATCTGTCCCTGGCAGAGGCATCACACAGACAGAGAAAACCTTCCCCCCCGCCACTCCAGATTTGAAAGTATCTTGTCCCCTTATTGGCCATTTTGGTCAGGTGCCAGCCGGGTTACTTGAGCTTCTTAACCCTTTACAGGTAAAAGCATTTTGCCCCTGGCCAGGAGGGATTTTACAGTACTGAATACAGAAAGGTGGTTACCCTTCCCTTTATATTTATGACAGCCAGTAAGAGTCCTGTCTGCACACTGTGGCAACAGCAGAGCAAGGAGCTGGGCTAGCTCTGCGGTACAGGTTCCTCTACAGGGTGAGGCCAGGGTGGGTTTGTTCTCCAACACACACAATCTAGGGCCTCTAAGTCTGAGGGTCGGACCCAATCCCTCTCCCCAGAAGCAGGGAAGATGTCCCCCCAATTGCCATTGTACATCGGGCCCCAAAAATGACTTAATCTGGCACTGACAGAATGGTATACTGTTGGTTTTCCAGTGAAGCTACCACCGGACTTGTAGGAGGTATGATCTCATGGTTGAAATGCAGAAAGCTATGTATACCTTCCTACAAAAAAGAGAAGATGGTTGGTGTAAATTAGTGAAAATAACAGCTACAGTACAGCAACATGGCAAACACTACCATTATGCTCTCAAATCTTGAAGGAGAACATGTTATGGGAAAGGAAAATAATTGTTTCCAATATATTTTGTATATCCAGTCTTGAACATGTATGAACCCAAACACTAAATTTAGTTGCCCACATTTAATAGGACAATTTTAGTCACTTGATCACGGGGGGGGGGGGGGGGGAGTTCTCTAAGAGGAGAATTTTCCTAGATTGATAGGTATCATAAACCACTGATAATTAAAATTGTTCATAAGAAGTATCTACAATATAAATTCTGCAACTTACATCAAACGTGGGTGTGCTCTGATGCGCACTCTGATTACATGGTTCTCTGAAACAATCGCTGAAAGGAAGTAGGAGCCCCATTGCAATGATCCTAGAACACAGCTTTTCTGCTTCTTCCTGTGGGGCATTCTCCTGCTGGCTGAACAGTTTTTCCAGGAGAGTTCGTCCTGCAAAGATTATATAATAGACCAATGATAATTTGTAATAATCTTTGTAGAATAAAAAAAAGTAAGATATTTTACCTCACTCCTGAAATAAAGAGCTTGACAAGTAGAGACACCAAAAACATCAAGTTTGTCAGGATACCCTACAAGTCAGCAGATCAGCCTTCAAGTAAAAATAAATCGCTATGCACTAGTTTAAGAATTATGCAAATTAAAGTTTCAATACTACTTATTGTTCATAGGGCTTGAAAGAGAAAATATACATCAAGTTGGCTCAAGTGGCCTAGCAGTTGTACTATACAAACAAGAGTCTTGAATTCCCATTCTAGAATCAGTCTCCTGCTATGAGAAACATAATTAAATTATACTTTACACTTATATAGTTATTTGTTATCACAGGCCCTCAAAAGTCAAGTATACATTACACCATTTTCCATATGGGGAACATGAGGTACAACAGGGTTAAGTAACTTGCTCAAGGTCACATAGCAAGCTGTTACAAAGTCAAGAATAGAACCAGTCTCCCAACTCCTAGCTCTTGCTCTTGAATTATACAGAAGAGAATACTAGTATTCTAGAGTCGGTGTTGTACTTCTCAGGAGAGAGTGTCCAATGTCATTTGAAGAAATCATAATTGCTGGCCATTTAAAAGTGACATTTACGGAGCTCCAAAGGTTGCAGAGTGCTCCAGGCCAGAAGAGAATCATTTTAACACAGACCTCTGTACGCAGAGGCACAGATTCAACGGAAGTTGCCTCCTATAGGACTAAACCCTGGATTTTGTGCCCCAAATATTCTTTTCACCAATAAAATATGAAAGGCCCTGAACTTGAGCAGGTTGTTCTTGCAAAGTGCTTAACAGATGACAATACTGTCAGGTCCCAAGAACCTAGTACTGTACAAGTCTAGCCAAATGGAGAATAAAAAAAAAAACACAACAAAACCAACAGATTAGTTACACAGTCACATGTAATGCAGAAATATATACTAAAAAGACTATTAAAAGTTGCCTGGTTAAGCATTTAAAAACAGATAAATCAGGAAAGGCCAAAGTTAAGGTTGTTCCTGTTTACAAGATATAATAAATGGATGGAACAAGTGCAGGAGAAGAGGAAACACAGGAGCAATAAAATTAGTAGAATGTTTTAGCACGGACTAGCTGCATATACAATTTGTGGCCAAAACGGTAACAATCATCACAATCCAACACCTGCCAAAGCCATCAAAGCATTTTCCAGAGTTTTACTAAAATAAATAATTGGAATTACAGGGCATTTTGCTTTTCATGAAATGTGGTTTTCTCATTAGAATGCAAGAAATTTCAAACATTTTTTCTATGTGAAGAATGATTTTAAACTAAATGAAATTTTCACAGGCTGTTTCGCAAAAGGTATCCAGTTTCCATGAAAGAAAAAAAGAAAAATCTAAGATTTCATGTTCACTTTTCAAATCTAAAAGATTTGATAGTTTTGAAGGCCATTTCTTTTCATTGTGTCAATTAATATTCTCTTTGAGTCCCTATCTTTCACTACAATACTATATGGTCTAATGGATCCAGGTACTTGGCTGGCAAGAAACTTCAGTTCTATTATGTGCTATACAACTGACTTGCTTTCTGACCTCAAACAAGTTGTCCAACTTCTCTGTCCACTCTTTTAACGGTGATAATGTGTCTTGCTTAGCACCCCTTTAACATCCTTCATTTTAGTGTTTATGTAAAAATGTAGCTTGTACTGACAACACCTCTGTTTATATTTAATAAATATAGGAAACTGGCCTTCTAAATGGGCAATATATTCTTTGGGTTTAGTACACCTAGAATATTGGTTTGAAATTAATCTTTCCCTTTTGTACAGTGTGATTGGTATACAACAGAAACTGCCTTAAAACAAAGCAAATCTATGGGCCCACAACAAAGGAGTTAGGACAGCCAAGTTTTTGATAGGGCTTTGCCTCTCTCTTCAGAGCAGCAACCACTGCTTCCAATTACACTGTAACAACAACAACAAAAAAATAGTGTTCCTTTAAAGCAGATCAACATTCTTATTAGAAGAAAAGTCAGCCACCACCAAATCCTGTTATTTTCTGGATACTTGTAAAACGAAAGAAAGATCACACAGTAAAATTAAATGGCACGATAAGCAGCAAATAATCAGTTTTCACATTAATGCACAGTAAGTCTGAGAAAAGAGATTTCTAAGATGATTTTAATTGGGCTTGTGAAAGAATAGCCAACAGCAATGCATGCTTCCCCATAGTGGGCCAAATTGCTAAAAGCGACCTGTGATTTTTGAGGGGCCCGATTCTGAAAGTCAGGCCTCTTTAAAGTGGCAACTTGGAAACCCAAAAATCACTAGTTATTTTGGAAGATTTGGGCAACTATGCCTTAAACCAGACAGAGGTACTCCTTCCAGTGGTAAGAAAGTAAGTGTGACACCCCTGCCTGATGATTCTCTGTCTTTGAAACAGCACCCTTGTTGGCAGTCTTAGCAAAGGACTTTAACCTTAAATATTTGTTCAATGAAACAGCATACTTAGCCAAAGATTTCATTCCCATTTACTCAATTTAAACAAATACAGTATTCATTGGTAAATTACTCACTACTTTAAAAAAAATCTCATTTAAACATTAAACCATATTATAGGCTTCAGACAATATACATATTTTTAAACAGTTTGATTAATTAAATGGGTTTCTGGATTCAAAAATAACATTGTACATTTCTCATCATGCTCTCTATCTGTATTGGATGTTTCCTCTCCAATTTATGATGATTATTTGTACACATTAGGTAACAAAGACATGTTTTTCAATACCAGTTATCAAAAGAGCAGAATATTTTTAGATTAACATCTGTCATCTAAACAAAAATGCTATTAGGAGAAAAAAAAACCCTCAACTCAGCTCTTCAGCAAACTTAAGTAGCACTAAACCATCCCCCCCCTTAAACATTGCATCTATTGTTGTCTTGACTCAAGATGCTAATAAGGATTACCACCTGGAAGAAGGTATTATGTTTAAACAAATCTGTGTTCTAATACCGCATGTCCCTTGAAATTACTGTACAAACACACGCATGAAAATTTGAAGTAAAAGTACGTTCCGTCAGTTTAGATTATACATGTTTTACTGAATGCAAGTTTAAATGAGCTCAATTTTCTATGAATATGGAAACAGATTCATGCTGAACTGCTGTGAACAATTCTATTAATGCTAAATGGGTTAAACATTTTAACACACTTACTGGGTCATATTTAAAATGAAGTGTTAAGCTGTTTAAATTTTCTGTATATGAAATAGCTAGTTCAGAAGGAACAATCTGAGGGGCTAAGATTATTACCCACTTGAATGGTCAGAAAAGGTTAGCCACACTGATTCCCCTCAAAGCGACACCCAAAAAAGGCAACATAACAGTCTGTGGGTAGAACAGAAGGTTGGGGGAGGGGAAAGAAAGACCTGTTTACCCTTATTCAGGGCAGCTTCAGCCTCCTTTCCAGCTACTTTCAAGTATAAACAGATGCTGTCACTAGAACTGAAGCTTCCCATTTCCGCTGACAGCCATCAGTAGTGGTTTGGGGATACTGACACTATTCAGAACCCAATGGTGCCCTTTATTGTTTTTCAGCTCTTTGAACTTTGAACTCTTTGATTCACACTGACACTAAGAAAAGCAGAACACACACACCACAAAACCATACATTTAAGAAGAAATTAAAAACAGACTTTGTTACATTATAAAAATGCACTTGTTTCTTAAATACTAAGGGTGAAATCTGAATGGCCTCATCTCTCTTCCTATTCCCGCCCTCAAGAAAAAAAAAACAAACTGCTTATTTGTTACTTTTAAAACTTCAGCTATTCCCTTCACTTTTCTTTCTGGAGAACTACAACAAGCTCTTTGGAAGACCTGAGTCATACAAATGTATGAGTGGAAGGGACCTCGATAGGTCTTCTAGCCCATTTCCCTGCATTGAGACAGGACTAAGTTCATTGGGGGAGGGGGGGCACACAGGCAATAGTAGTACATTGTGGAGTCATATTTACTTTGTTATCCACTATAAACTCCAGATCCTTTTCTGCAGCACCCCTTTCTAGACAGTCATTTCCCATTTTGTATTTGTGCAATTAATTATTCCTTCTTAGTCCTTATTGAATTTCAGACCATTTCTCCAGTTAGTCAAGATCATTTTGAATTCTAACCCTGTCCTCCAACGCACTTGCAACCCGTCCCAGCTTGGTCCCATTTGCAAACTTTATGAGTGTACTATCTATGCCATTAGCCAAATTATTTATGGAGATACTGAATAGAACCAGACACAGGACAGATTCCTATATGACTCCATTCAATATGTCCTTCCAGCTTGACTGTGAACTATTGTAACTATTCTGAGTACACCTTTCCAATCAATTATGCACCCACCTTACATAAGTTCATCTAGGCTAATTTCCCTAGTTTATGACGTCATGTGAGACAGTATCAAAAGCCTTGCTAAAGTCAAGATATATCATGTCTGTTGCTTCCCCCCCATCCACCGGGCTTGTTACCCTGTGAGAGAAGTATATTAGGTTAGTTTGACATGATTTGTTCTTGACAAATCCATGTTGATTGTTGCTTATCAACATATCTTCTAGGTGCTTACAAATTGATCTCAATTATTTGCTGTATTATCTTTCTGGGTTAAGTTAAACTGACTGATCTACAATTCCCTAGGTTGTCCCTATTCCACCTTTTTTAGATAGGTACTGTATCTGCCCTTTTCGAGTCGTCTGGAATCTCAAAGATAATCAGTAATGGCTCAGATATCTCTTCCGCTATTTCCTTAAATATTCTAGGGTATATTTCACCAGGCCCTGCCAACTTGAAGACATGTAACTTGTCTAATTAATTCCTAACCTGTTCTTTCCTTATTTTGCCCTTTGATGCTACCTCATTTACATTGATGTTCACTATGCTAGTTCTCCGATCATTGTTAACCTTTTTGGTGAAAACTGAAACTAAAAA